AAATGAGATGTACGACTGCGAACAGCAAACGAAAGTAATATCTACACTTTTGAAGAGGCCATTACACAGCGAAGACAACTGCTGTTTTGCTGCGAGGCAGTTAGTAAACGAGAAGGACGTAGCACCTGGTTTACCTCAAATATCTACTCACAGTTACCTGAATTTCGTCCCAATTTTGAATACATGCAATATGAAAGTAAGAATGCTTTTCAATTTATGAGCTAATTAGTAACGAAATTATTTACTTAATATTTAAGTTACCACCGGTGATTAATTTACCACCGGTGATTTTTCCGGACCGATACGACCTGGGGACCTTCAAGAAAAGAGCTTACTCCTTTCTAAAGGGCCGGCAACGCACCTGCAATTCCCCTGGTGTTGCGGGTGATCATGGGCGGCGGTAGTCACTTAACATCAGTTGACCCACATGCTCGTTTGCCCCCACTTCTAAAAAAAAAAAAATAAAAAAAAACAATGTGTGCCACGAACGATCAGTCCTAACCCACCACGTGGCTTAACTTGCACAGAAGACAATTTATGATATAGATGCAGATGTGGAGATTATACTTATATGTATATCATAAGATGGAGGAAAGGGACCTGACATCAGAGTAAGCGGGCGTATAAAGCGCAGTACGCCCGCTTTATACGTTTTGCATGAAAAATAGTTGTCTCCCGTTATTCAAATCCCATTCACGACCGCTTGAATTCGTAGCATAGACGAGTGCAGGTCTGTGTGGAATTTCTTTTGTTTTGTTTTTCAATCATATTTAAAAAAAGGAGAAAGTTCTCAATTCAGCTGTATTTGGTGGCGTTCTAATTGGTGACGTTCTCATTGTCATGGTGACGTTCTAATTGGTGATGTACTTATTTTATTTACATTTAAGTCTGTTGTCCAAATTTTTAATTTTACTACTTGTTGTAATCGTTGCCAATCTTCGAAGTAAAACTACGAAACTGCAAAGGGAAACTGCTAGGGAAACGGTTATGGCGTGTACATCTTTATGTCAACGAAGACGAATAAAGGTGTACAAAATTTAAAACAGATACAAATTCGTACAGCGGCTGCTACTAAAATATAGTTCAATACTGTAAAGACAGTTGTAAAAGAAGTAAAATCTAACTGTGTTACCATCAATGTTGTACTCTCCGAGAAAAAACGGGTCAAAATTACAACACTTAATGGGATTTGTATGATTTTGACATAGAGATGATAAAAAGATGCTTTCATGTTAGGAACACAGAATTACCAACTCATGAACGAAACATCAAATCATTAGTAGTTATTGTCAAAATAATACAGTTTGAGAACGAATATCCACTTTCTTGCTTACGCAAGTAATAATTATCAACAATAAAATATCATAACGTATTGGTATTTATTCGGTTAATAAACTCTATTATTTATAAATGTAAATGATATTTTGTGATATTTTATGATAACTCAGGTCCAGGCAGATTCTATATAATAGATACATGTTCAAAAAATTTACCTGTATCACCTTCGAATCGTTGAACGGTAGGCGATCCTCACTTTTTTGTCACCAACAGTCGTCTGTGGTTCTCAGGCAAAATTACCAGGATACAGTGGATAATTCTTGCGCACATAAGTGTGCACAAGAATTATCCGCTGTATCCTACATATACAGCTTAGTTTTTTCGTAGGTTCACTGTTACACCATTTCATTGACACACGTTTGTAATGAAAAGAGTGTAAAACATCCCTTAGAAGATGACGAGAAATCACGAGCTCGTCGCTTTTGTGCACAGACATTCAAACCGTAATGCGCGTACACCCACGAGCGTAATAGCCCAGTGGAGGAAACAAATGATATGCAATTCCCGCAGTGAATTTATGTATTTCACGTCATAAGCAGATAGCCATTTTGGCGTGTGTAATATAATTATTAATAGTATAAATAAATTATGTTGATGATACAGGTAACTACGGAACCGTTGGTTTGTAGTATTTCTTGAGGGAAGCCTTTGCTTAGCAGTGAATTTCTGAAGGACTATAATGATGGTGACGAATTTTTGAATGTATTGTTAGATATCATCTGCCGCACATACATACCGCATGTAATCCCTTACCGTAGTACTTTTTGTCTATATATATATATATATATTTTTTTTTATATATATATATATATCGTCCTCTTCGTCAGGTATACCTCAAACTCTGAAAACTAAATTGTAAAACCAGTGCGTGTTGCCAGTGATGACTAACGGATCTGCGACGTGATTCTTCACTGCTGGCCGTATGAGGACGCTCAAGGTCGCTCAGCGAGATATGCTCGGGGTTTCTCTGCGTGATAAACTCAGAAATGAGCATATCCGCAGTAAAACCAGAGTAACCGACATAGCCCAACGGATTAGTAAGATGAAGTGGCAATGGCCGGCCATATAGCTCGAAGAACCGATAACCGATGGGGAAGAAAGGTTCTCGAGTGGTAGCCTCGTACCGGTAGGCGTAGTGTAACTATCTGGTAAGACATGCAAGTCGATGGACGCAGGTGGCTCAGGACCGTGGGCATTATTTGGGGGAGGCCTATGATCAGCAGTGGACTTGTGAAGGGCTGTAATGATGATGATGATGATATATTTTGCTTGCTATTTTCCATCTCCTGAGATAAATAAAATAAATTTACACAACAAGGATATAGATCGACGAGTGAATGCAGGGAATAGAGTGAATGAACACTCTATTATGAAGGATAATAATGTGTCAAAAAAGGCACGTATTGTAATTCATAATGCTGTGTTAACCCCTACTTTAATGTATGGCAGTGAAAGTTGGGTGTGGCAGAAGAAACACGAAAGTAGAATAAGTGCTTTAGAAATTCCGTCTTTTAAGAATATGCTAGGGCTTAATCTGAATGACAGCGTGAGAAATTGTGTGTTAAGAGAAAAATGTGGTGTGCAAGATGATGTTGGAAGAAAAATGCGTGAACGAGGGAAGAGTGACAAAGCAAATTTATATTGTGAATGGCAGATTCGGGTAGGAACGTAAGTAAGAAAAGAAAGTTCACGGACCAAATTGACGATATTTTGAAAATGGGCCACATTAGGAGTACCCTTAACCGACGAGTGTGTATGCGCAGATATATGGATGTAAAGGAGGCGAGTGAGGTATGTCAGGATCGTGCCAAGTGGAAGTCCGTAGTCTAAGTAGTGGAAACGTAATGACCTTGAACCATTTTTGAAAAATTGATCACTGGTGATGTAAAGTGGATCACCTATGACAAGAACGTGCGAAAAAGATCATGGTCAAAGGGTAGTCAACACTATAGAGTTGACTACCCTTTGACCATGACATCTCCGACACAGAGATAGGTTTGGAGGCCGTAGGGGGTGAGTTCCGGCAGTGGAGGATCTTCTATCAATATAGCTTGTAACTTAAATAGTACAGAAAAAACTTGAAAAAAAGGGGTCAGGTAGACAAGTTCCGAGTAGCAATGTTTTGGGTAATCCCAAACAATCGCTTCTCGGAACCTTATCAACAGCTGCGGGAGTGCTCGTAAAAGATTGTGCGTTTGAACTTACGCTATTGTTTACATTAAGTGTGAAATTAGAAACAAGTTAAACAAGAAGAAACTGTTCAATCAGTCATCAGTATTACAGGCATCGTGCACACGCGCGCATATCTCTCCCTGTTACACTTAAAGAAGTTGAGTTTCAAAGTTTTATGGCGGCGGAACCACCAAGACGTGGAGATCATGCAAGGCAATCATTTTCCAACGAGGAATACGCAGATATCTTTTATCTCTATGAATATTGTGACGGTGACGTTGCAGCTGCTTGCCGTGAATACCTACAGCGCTACCCTAATCACCGACCACCCCATGTCACAGTGTTTAGTGCAGTGTATCGTAGAGTACGAGGGACTGGAAATGTTCAAAGGGAACAACGTGATGCTGTCAGGCCACATGGCATACCCCGTATACCGTGTGCGGAAGATGAAGAAATTTTGAGTAAATTTCAAGAAGATCCAACCACTTCCACGAACATAGTTGCTCGTCGCTTAGGTGTATCGCAGTGGAAGGTCTGGTCTACTGTGCATACTGCGGGGCTTTATCCGTACCACTACACACCAGTGCATGTGATGGAAGAAGGAGATCCAGTTAGAAGATTGGATTTTTGTAGATTTATGTTGAACGCAGATGCAGAAGATCCAATGTTTTTTAGAAAAATATTGTGGACTGATGAGTCGAAGTTCGATCAAGACGGTATTACAAATTACCATAATTAACATTTTTGGGCTCCAAAAGAGCAAAGAAATCCTGGAAAAAAGAGACCTTCTAATGTCCGGTTTCTGAAGTTCCCAGTTATATTTCCATTAGCTATTGATTCAATAAAGTTATCTATAAGATATCAGTCGGTTAACAGTCATTGCGTTTCTGAATACCATTACCAAACCAACCGTTCAACAACTATGAAACCAATAACAAGTTCCATAATTTGCCACTAGATGGGTCTTTTTCGACTCATCGAAGACATCGAGTCTAAAATTGTTTTTTTTTTTAATTTCAATTCTTCATTTGTACTAGTATTATTCATAAAATATTATTTTTTGAGGCTAAATAAGTGAATATACACTGTTTTCGCAACAAATTAAGATAATTCAATATTTATCAGACTCTATGGACGACATCATTGTACTGTCAAATTGTTTAAAAGAAAACGTCATACTCATTGCTTTTATTTTGCGCGTGGTTTGTTTTTTCTCTTTCCGATTTTAAGTTTAGTGGTTTTATTTTTTAAAATAAACATTATGGAGTCTAGCAAACGTAGTAGAAATTTTACGAAAAGAGAGAAGATGCTTCTAATTGAAGTAGCCAAAGAATTTGTGGCTACAATTGACAACAAAAAGACGGACGGGACTACTGTTGAGGCCAAGAAGCAAGCTTGGATGGCGTTGACAAATAAATATAATGCTCTTTCTGAAACGGGAATCAGAACAGAAAAACAATTGCATGCGTTATATGACAATTAAAAAAAAGCTAGAAAAAATATAAGCGATGATAAGGTAGGTCATATCCTACTTATTTTTGTTTGAACTAATAAACTTTTTTATTATACAAAGTGCGAAGGAACTTTACTGTACAAGCTGTAGTATTACTTTATAGTGTACTAATATTATACATCATTATATTCCACGACCTATTTCATGGGCACAGTTATTGCCTTGGAGTATTTACAATAATAATTTATTCTAATATAAAGTTATGCAATGGTATCCGACAGGTATGTGATGTAAAACCTTAAATTTTAGTTTCAGTCCGAGCTGTACAAGACAGGATATGGAACATTTTGCCCTAAGACAACTGCAGTCGATGAAAAGGTTGTGGCCTTATTACCTCCACAATTCAAACCATTATCTAATGATTTTGACTCATCAGCACCATATTACACCATAGGTATGTAAGTTTAGTGTTTTTCTAACATCATATTACATCAGAATTTAGCATTTATTGAGCATGCTTTTACCTGATGTTTTGGTTAAATTCTTCTTATATCCACTATTTCAGCATAGGGCACATAACCTGAGCAATTAAAATTATCAATGTAAATTTACAGGGAAAAATTAGTTTAAATCTAATCAAACTTACTAATAATTTCATGTGAAATAGAATAAAGATAATGAAACAAAATATAATTAAATAATCATTTATTTAATGTGGTTTAACCCTTTCGCTCTGACAGCGCGCGACATGTTATACTCCCGTTCGCTCGGGACCGTAATGGCGGGAAAATTTGCAAATTAGCAAATTTTTTGCTATATTGCAAATTTTGCTATATTTTCACTTTGAGACAATATTTATGGATAAAACTTACAGGATTTCTTGTTGAATGTATAAACTATCGAATAAAATTATTTTTGGTTGCTAGAAATTGTAATAAAATACATAAATTACCCTGTATAGCATAGTAGTACCATATACTTCAATTTTAGTGACAAAATTACTACTAATTTGAATTCTACACTTTTGTTTTTGGAGAAATTTATATGAAAATGTTTGAAAATATGTATATTTTTATGTTTTATATGTTTCCATTACGTTACTCATACCAAAATATTGAAATATAAAAAAAACTATAATAATATTTTATCTGTGTGACATTTAGAACAATATTTCAAAAATAATTATGTGTGAATTTGAAATAAATACAACGTCAAGTTATTTGAAATATATAAGAAAACTATTTTTACTTACATTTTACACTAAAAATAAATGAGAATATGAAAAATAACGCATTTATGACCCAGCCGCCATAATGGGCCTTCCAGATTTTGAAGCACTTTTGGCAATTTACTTTTTACTTTTTATACCACAAATTATATATCTACGTGTTCACTATATTACAAGGAATATAAAAAAGTATAATACTTTCGTTTTTAGTCCAGACACAATTATAAAATTCTATAAAAAAGACGGAGCACATTCATCAAAACGACACGTGGAACGCCGAAAGTTCAGAGTGATTTCTTTTTTTTTTTCTAATAAACATTGCCAGGTTATGGTTTAAAATAAAAGAGCATATCTTTGTCTTTGATACTATTATCTATTGCATATTGTTTTTGGTTTTGTTTTAAAGGAAAAAGTAGTTTTTTCATAAGGCAGTACTTCTGATATTATCTGATCTAATTAGCCCCGTACTAGAGCGGGCGTAAGGTAGGTATTGTATGATCTGCTTAGATTGGTAGCCGAGTGAAAGGGTTAAGTACCCATGCACTACTTTCTGAATATAGATTTATCTGAATAAGCTACAGAAATAGAAATAGAAACTTATTTATTCAATACATATTATAAATAATACTTATTAAAAGTCACTTTTTTCATTTACCACTGGTTCGCAAAAAACACCTCTGTCCTGGGAAGAATTAGCAAGAAACCCAGCGGGACTATTTTTTTAAAATAATAAAATTACACATAACACAATAGTGATTGATTTTTGCAATTTATTCATTACAGATATTGTTGAAACACAACAGCTAAACGATACGCAAGATTCTTCTCAAAAAGTATTGGGTGCAAAAGAAGATTCTGTGCATCAACTTCAAGTTAAAGGTTCCAAAAGAAGGATTTCACCTCTTCTGGTATCTGACATCACACCGAAAAAAAAGATTTGTTTAACTGAAACAAAAAAGAAAAATATAAATAGCATTAGTGCTTCAATAATAAAAAGAAAAAACCAGAAGCAAATGAATGAAGATATCATAACAACGGAAAAGTTAGAAATATTGCAGGTTCAACTTCAAAATGAACATATTATGAAATTAGAAAAAAACAAAATTTCACTGGATCTTGATATTGAGTTAAAGCGGAATCTTTTAGAAAATTCAAAAACGTACTTAGAATTAAAAAAGAATCTTTTAGAAAATTCAAAAATGGACTTAGAATTAAAAAAGAAGAATTTTAATTTATAAGGGCCAACATATAATAAATTAAAATTCTTATTTTAAATCCTAAGTCCATTTTTGCACTTTGTAAAAGATTTTCTTTAATTCTTTAATATTTAAGTACTTGGCGTCACTGCAATTTATTTCATTTCCTCTTGTTATGCGCCTATGTGATGGAATACACATGAAAGATACCTAACCTTTTGTGCATAACTAAATAACAAATTTTTAATATTATACAAAATATAGTTTTTTTTATTCAAATCTGAGATTGGTTAAACTTTGGACCATACTTAAACTGTCTCTTAAAATTAAAAAATTACTAAAACTATTTATATGTGCGATCCTCTTCAGGGCCTCGAGGGCCGCACATGCCTCTGCAGTGAAGACACTGCATTTAGGGTTCAGAAGAAAACTTTGACCAATCTTGGATTGGGGATCATAAATAGCACTGTGCATAAAGAGCTCACTTTTGCTCCCATCTGTATACAAAGTATAGTAGTTATTGTTGGAAAGAAAACTTAATAATTCACAATTATTAAATTTTTTTAGAAACAATATTGGTCTCAAATATAATACAGGAGTCTGGGTATGAGTAGCATGTTGTTTAATTACATTTTTAAAATCTTCATTCATTTGTAATACAATGAGAGGCAAAACTGGAAAATAACCTCGTAAAAGCTCACCTCCTGAAGTATGCTGGGCCAAGCATTGAACAGGAAAAGGTACTATTTTTGTGAGAACATTATCATTACCAGATAACAGCTTTAGCAAATATCTCTTTATTAGCAGAAGTCACAGTGGCATTATTTTGGTTTCAACCTCCATAGCTAGTATGGGAGTTGAACACATAGCCCCAGTAATAATTTGCAGAGCTTTGTTTTGAATTATGTCTAGTTTTTTTACACAACTACTATTTGTGTAGGCTAAACAACTGTGGTCGAAATGGCTTCTGACTATAGATTTATATAGCATACTTAAAACTTTGGGGTCTGCACCCTAAGTCACACCAGCTAAACATCTTATAATATTTAAGCCCTTAAGAGAGTTAGTTGTAATGTGATTGATGTGTAAATCAGAACAAAGTTTGTTTTCAATGACAACACCCAAGAATTTATGGTTAGGTACAACTGAAATTGGATGATCATTGTAGAGTATGTCATTAGAGGGAATATCTTTACTAAAAATCATGGCCTTGCTTTTGTTGGGATTAATCTGTAGAGCCAATCTGTCATTATAATATATGTACAATTGGTTTAAAGCATTATTTATACTATTTACAGCTCTATCTACATTATGGTCTGTACAATATATTACAAGATCATCTGCAAATTGTGGAATATTTACACCTTCTATATTTACAAAATTAAGAATTTGACTAGTATATATATAGTACAGCAATGGAGATAATGTAGCCTCCTGCATTGTACCTTTGGAGACCTTTCTAGGACCATGGAAAATATTATTATGTCTTATATACAAAGTTCTATCTGTTAAAAAATTAAATAACCAATGACAAAGTGTGCCTGATATACCAATGTTAGAAAGAACTTGAACCAAAATGCCAGGTTCAACATTATCACACGCACCTTGAACATCCAGAAAAACACAAACACTGGACTTATTATTATTATTGGCATATTTCAGATCTGACAAAAGAGAGATGAAGCTGTCAGCACAACTTCGCGCTCTCCGGAAGCCATATTGAACATGTGGAATGATGTTGTTCACCTCTACATAATACTCAAGACGCATCTTTATCATGTTTTCATTAAGCTTTCCAACACAAGATGACAATGATATGGGATGATATGAGTTTTATTATGATCTTCAGGTGGCTTGTCAAGCTTAAGTAGAGAGATTACACACTATGTTTTCCAAAATACAGAATTTTTTTTAAGTGCCAACTAGCATTAAGATTAGTTAAAAGCTTCTTTTGAACAGACCGATTTAGGTTTTTAATCAAAATGTATGGACAATCATCTAAACCAGGGGTTGTGTTTCGTCTGGATTGTAAACTTGTACAAAACTCACTCCTAGTAAAGGGTTCTATGAGGAAACTGGACTTCTGAAGGCTATTATTAATTTGAAAATAACTTTCTAGATTATCAATAACCCTACATCCATTTTGAGATAATTTTTCTAAAAGAGCGGCAACAAATTCATCTTTATATGTTCTATTATTGCATTTTATTCGTTTAAATAACTTAATGTATTTCCAAATAATATTAACAGGTGTAGTTCTGTTAAAAGTATTACAGATGTTTGCCCAACCATAGAGTTTATGTTCTGAAATAGTATATTTCTTAACAGCGTCAAGTCTTTTGTAATTAATATAATTATCAATGGTTGGATCCCTTCTGTACAGTTTTAAAGCTTCATAAGTTTTAATTACACTATGTTCACATGTGTCACTCCACCAAGGTGCTGGGGGTTTGCAACGATAGTTATTCGCTTTGACAAACTTTGGTATAGTATCTCTCTTAAGTGAATCAAGCCTTTCGATAAATTCGTCGTATGACTGTAATGGATTCTCATTATTAATTTCAAAATTATAAAAAGCAGTTATAGACAGCTAATTGTATTTCGTCCAGTCTGTCTCGTTGTATAAGAATTTTTCAATGGGAGGATTAATTTGGTATCTATCGACGGACACTAAAACACGAGTAAGCGTAGGAAAATGATAGCTCTCCATACAATCATCATGCACCATTTGCATAGTGAAGTGATTGAAGCACTACAAAAGCTGACATCAATAACCAATGGATTTCGGTTAGGATAATTAATAGTAGTGAAGCTACCATTATTTATACCAATTTGATCTGTGTGTCCTTAACATACAGATCAAATTCATAAATTAAATTGTATAATTGATGACCCCGACTTTTCGTAGTCATACACCCAAATCCCACATGGTGAGCGTTAAAATCTCCAGCCACAAATATTGGCTTAGGCAAATCTCTAATTATATCACGCAGTTTACTTATTCTGAACTTACTATTCGAGGGAGATCAGTATACACATAATATCGTTAAGTGTTTACCACTTACATATAACGATAATGCCACAGTCTGATTGCCTTGGTAAAATCTGGTTTGAATAATGTTATATTTAAAATACGGTTTGATCAAAATTGCTACTCCACCTTGCTCATTTTGGGCATTATGATAGTGGGAATTATATCCCGAAATTTTAATATCTTTAAGCCCAGTTTCATTAAGTAGACATATATCAACATTTTGCTCAGCTAAAAATTTAGACAATAAGAGTTTTTTCCTATGTATACTTTGATTATTGTACTGAACTATACATAACTGCTGTATGTTCTGTACTGTACTGATTTCTTATATTTACGCGAACACTACACATTGAACTTTTTTAAATACCCGACGTTTCGAACGCTTTACAGCACTCATGGTCACGGGCAGGACTGAGATGTTCAACGTCCATATGTAATAGTTAACCGCGGTTACCATAGATTAAAATTTAACTTTTGTTCTGATCTATGCAGTATGAACTTATGGTATCTTGAAGTCTTGCAGTTGTATGCTTGGGTTGGGATTTAATTTTATTTATTATAGGATCCCAAGCAGATGGTAGTACCCAGCCATCTTCTCTATTGAAATTAGGATGTTTTTTGATTTCAATAGCCTCGCGAATCATCCTTGGAAGGAATCTGTGTTCTTTAGCGAGGATCTGCGGTCTATCAAATCTGATGTAGTGACGGGGGCGATCCTGTACGTGTTCACAAACTGCAGACTTCCCGGAGCGTCGATTCTTCACATCAGCTATATGTTCTTTAACGCGGGTTTTTATTGATCTTTTAGTTTGTCCTATGTAGGAGAGACCACATTCACAATCAAGCTTGTACACTCCTGCATCTTGCAGAGGGACATTACACTTGACCGATGGTAAAAACTGACCAATCTTCTTCAGCGGCTTGAAGTATGTTTTGATGGAAGCGCGCTTCAAGATGTAGCCAATCTTGTCAGTGACTCCTCTAACATATGGCAGTACAGCAGGTACACGCTCGACTGTGGCCGGCTTCACTCGTTCACTGTGACGTAGGCGCGGGACTCGAAGCTTGTTGTCATGCAAAACTTGCTTGACATGGTGGAGCTCTGCAGCCAGGTGTTTACTGTCACAGATCCCTCATGCTCTCTGAAACAAAGATTTACCCACGGTAGCTAACTGTGAAGGATGGTGGTGAGAATCACCATTTAAATATCTATCTGTATGGGTCTTTTTTCTATACACAGTATGGCTCAAGGTGTTATCAGGATTCCGAATTACTAACACATCTAGAAAAGCTAAGGAATTGTTTGCCTCTAACTCCATTGTGAACTGAATTTTAGAATTTATAGAGTTAAGATGGTCTAAAAATGCAGTTACTTTGTCTAAAGGTAGAATTGTGAAAGTGTCGTCTACGTACCGCTTGTAGAACCTTGGATTTATGGGAGAACTAAGCAGGGCTTTCTCCTCAAATTCTTCCATGAATATGTCGGCGACAATGGGAGATACAGGTGAGCCCATCGCCACACCATTTACTTGCTTGTAGAACTCCTCCTTCCACAATAGGTAACCAGATGTAAGGCAGTGTCTGAGTAATACTGCATATTCTACGGGCATGTTGTTTTCTTCCAGCCTTCTAGTTACAATTGAGATGCAGTCTTCAACAGGTAAGCATGTAAACAATGACTGCACATCAAAACTGACCATAGTTTCATTGTCTGCCAGATGTAGGTCTTTAATCTCGCTGACAAAATGGTAGGAATCCTTTATGTGTGCTCTTGTATGTCCCCTGAGTGGTGAGAGTATTTTCGCTAAGTGTTGAGCCAATCTGTAAGTTGGTGAATCGATTTGGCTCACTATGGGACATAATGGAGCATTGGGCTTGTGTATTTTTGGTAACCCATACAATTTTGGTGATTTGGCGCACGTAGGTATTATCTATTTTACGTCCAGATTTAATTTTTCGGAGTGTTTCTTTATGAGGTCACTAGTTGTTTTTAGTGTGCTATTTGTTG